AGTTCAACTGCACAACATTCAATTATGTTCGTTTTACTAAGTTGTGCTATTTCAGGAAGAGGTTTATATTTATGACATTTCTTAACTAGTATGCAGGAGCCTCCATGACGATTTTCTCGAACATGGTACGATGCAAGAGTATAATTATCTAATTTGAATGAATTCGTATCATTGTAAGTCATATTATGTTCAGTTATGCATAGAACATCAGCCGAGTACCCATCTAATTCAAGGTTATTTAAATGAACAGTTAGGAGATCAGATTTAGCAATTAATCCATTAATATTTTGATGTAATATATATAGTTTTTTATATACGAAAAAGATTTTTACCAGAATGTGTCATATTTTCATGCCTGGGAGTGATTTCCTCTATGATATTGTCTTTCAATATATCGTCACTTTGTGTACATGTGTCTACCATTTCAATATTGTCAGTTTGTGTACTAGTAGTCTGAAGTGGAGTAAATTTTGAGGAAATTACTATATTTTGGTAAAGCTCAAATTTTAATTTGTAGTCGAGGCGTAGAATTTCACGTAGCAGAAAACGACATGGTATATATGGAGTAAAAGTATATTGATGAAAGAAAGGCTTCGAACCATTTGTATTTATAAACGAAACATTAGTAAAGCTTGTACATATAAATCTTAATACATAGTTAAGTTTGCCGATGTTTAAATTTCTATTATATGGTATTTCTGTAAATATTACATTAGTATTTGTTACACTATAAAGCCAGCTCCTGATACAAAATTCAAATTCATATGGATTATTCTCATTCACGCCGCCAAGAACAACAACATAATCATTTTTTGTAAGTTTACATATTTCGTTCTTTTCTGTTTGTAAGACTTCCTGTATTTTAGCTCCTGGTTTCCAATAACAAGTTACAAGAAAATTATCGCCAATTAATTTTTGAAGAGTTTTGCAAATATTTCGCCCTTGTTGGTCAGCAATAACAATTATTTTCCTTCGCATCTTAAATGTAGCTAATTTGTAATTGTCATTTTTTTCTCTTATATAATATGGCAAAGTGTTTCCTAGTTGAGTTTTTGGAGTATTAAGAGACGTATTAGTATTTGTGTCTGTTGCAATTACTTCCGTGTGTTCTTTGTGAATATCTTCTTTCTCTAGATGAATGTGACATGATGTGTTAGGCAGATGATTTGAGCTATCTGTTTTTTCTATGTTATTGACTAATTCTTGTTCTTTGTCTTTGATTTCGTTAATACTGCACTCTGACATTTCTATTCTGTTTATAGGTGTACACAGTAGATTTTGTTCTGGTATCTGCAAAGTTTGTCGTCTCTTGTTTACTGATGCAGGTGTCGTATTACATGAGGAATATGTAGTAATTTTTTTAAATGTTTTAATTATTTTTTGGTATTTTTCAATTTCAAACTTTAAACTAGTATTTTCACTATTGAGATTATCTATTTCTTGATGAGCAATTAATAAGTCACTCGACAGTTTATTTATTTTTTCATTTAAATCAATATTATTTTGACTTTCATATAGAGATGCATTCGGTAAGCTTGCCACGGTTGCGTCAAACAGTGTAGAAGAGGAATTGAGATCTGACATATCTTGTAACGAACTAGAGCGTTGTGGTTTTCTGTACGTTATATTTCCAAATTCCATTTTTTAATTAGGACTGCTTATTAAATAATTTTTTACATATAATCTTAAAATACGCCCTTCGTAAGCGATAACAAGAAATAAAAGTATATACGAATATAAAATAAAAGATGTTTTTAAACTCGTGGGTTGGACTCGATCCCACACCTAATTGTATTGTAAGAAGTGAATAACACACTAAGTTAAGCTGATTAGACCAATCTTCTATTAAGTCATGAATTGAAATTATCAATATTATTACAAATTTTCATATTTTTCAATAGTGGGTAGCCGTTGAAATTGTCAATTATAATTATTATACTAATATTTCTTCCACAAATCTTATGAATACATTTTATAGCTGCAGTCGGAATAAACACATTATATCGTACATATCACAAATATACTGTTCAATATATAACTTTTTGTAGGCAATAATGCAATTTATACAACATAAATGTTTAATTATTGAGGAGGATACACTTCATTCTTCAACATTCGCCAATATTTCTATTATTCATTAAGTGGAAATATTTGGAATTATATATATTATATAACAACACTTCTTTGATAAAGACAATTTTGGTTTACTTTATCACTTCTTTTGTTATTAAAACACTACAACGTTAGTTCATAAGATTTAGGTTATTAAATGTTTAATATGTTAGAAATGATACACTCTCACGTAAATACAACTCGTATATTCACTCGGATTTTAAATTCCGATCTTGGGTATTTCCTAGTATAGTGGTGTTGGTAGTGTCAAGTGTTTAAGAATTGTAATAATTTTTTAAAATTAATATATTAAAGTTCGTTTCAGTTTATTAATTAATAAATAAAATGACGCACATTTTGAGAGATTTCGATTTCAGCTTGGGCTAACCGACAGTCGATGACGACAGTATCTCAGGACGCCTAAGCAAATATGTTGATTTAATGTCACAGTACCCTACACAAGATTCACTGAATCAATGTTTTCACCCCTTTTTATTCCAAATTTTATTGTTTAAATTACACTACACAAAAGCACTCAGTCTGCTGAACGATTTAGTATATATTTCTAATAAAAAAGGTAACTTTTTTCACCACTTTGGAATAAAAATCTAAGAGCGCCAAGTAACACGTCTTTCTCATGTACACACCACACAAACAACCAATTCAATGTGTAGTGTTCGCGTAAATATAAGAAATTATTGTGTGCTAGCTTTTTCACTCTATCCTATAAAAAGAACGACATGTTCGATAAAGTCCACTGCTGGACATTCTGCTCCCGTTGTAGGGAAATTTTGCTTTAATCGCCACATTTTGAAAGCGGAGATGGTTATACCGCTATATATTAGAAGCCATGAGATCTTTCCGACGTATCCCGTCATATCTCTTTATTACTTAAATAATTCATTACAGCCTATCAAAAATCCGCTGCTGAACAAGATCTTCAGCATCGATTGCCTCATACAGGGGTTTGTTAATAGTTGCCATTGGAAACTGCAGTTTTTAATCGGCGCGGAGCGAGCGTAGCGAGGAGAGCTCCCATGGCGCAAGAAAACGATTCTTTGAAATCTATCTCCTTCGTTACCCATAGGCCAATTTACATAGTTTTTTCGGCAATATTTGTAGCTCAACGCAGATAAGTTTTGTAAACAACTGAATTTGTCTAAAAGATATTAAAAAAAATAACCAAAAACCGAATTGTCTATGGGAAAATAATGTAAGGCAAAAGCGTGCGCTTTTGTAATAATTATTGGGAACAGAATTAATTTAATACAATTCTAATTTGATTAAATCTTTTGTTGAAATAAAGATTGTTATGACTTTTACTCTGACCCGTTTATGATGAGGTTTTACCTTTGCATCTGCACCGGGCCTAGTTATTTTCAGTTTTAATCAGGAAGATGCCGCTGCCCTTTCTGGCCTCTTACTACACTCACGGAATGATATTGGTGTGTGAATTCCCTTTCGCCGCACACAGCGACATGACTGCTGTCGCGTAGAGGCACCTTTTACAACACCCAATGTTGGGTACAATACGAAGAACAAGCGATCCCTTTCCATGCTTCCGTGACATTACACCATAAAAAAACTATTCTATTTCGATTTTTTTTTAATTTAATATATAGTTTGAAAATAAATAGTATTCTGAGCCGAGCTCAGGGGCTTAACGCTCGCCGTAAATTTCAAAGTACGCGAGCAACCCTGGTTAGATCTCCCCCGGCACTAATGAAATTGCTAATTGCAATTTTCAAGTGCCGATTTACCGCATGCTCGGCGGTGAAGGAAAACATCGTGAGGAAACTTGGAAATACATCATGGAATAAAAATATATATTTTCGGAAACATGTGAATTCCGCCAACACGCATTGGGGCGGCGCGCAGGACACTTCCTTGCCCTAAAACCCTCTAAGTAATGAGAGAAGGCCTGTGCCTAGCAGTAGGACGTATATAGTCTGTAACTACTACTAAATAGTACAAGATACTCTCTAAAATCGACCTTTCCTAATGTAGTTTTTTAATAGCATAATATTTTTTACAATCATAATTATCATCATCATTACAGCCCTTCACAAGTTTACTGTTGAACATAGGCTTTTCCCAAAAAATTCCTCAAAGTGCGGTCCTCGTTGTATCCATGTCTTATCAGGTCGTCACTCCATCTAGTGGAGGACCGACCTTGATTTGGACTGAATTTTCCATGTATCTTTTATGCATCATCAACTTGTATACTAGATATAGTATACAACATACAACAGCAAATTTAAACCGATTTATAATATTACCCACAGCCTATTATGTGTTTGACTTTCGCAGTATGAATGTAAACAAACGACAGACTATTATGTGTTTGACATTAGTAGTATTAACGTGAACAATACATTTTTTATTTAATTTAATTTAATGTATTTGTATAACACTTATATAAATTTTAGCTTTTTGCAGTCATATAAGCTTTAACTATGCCAAAATTTTGCAGCCATATAAGCTTTAACTATGCCAAAATTTTGCAGCCATATAAGCTTTAACTATGCCAAAATTTCGTGCGCGCAATAAGGATAAAAAGGGGTGCAAAGTTTTCTCTTGACGTAATTAAAACATAGATTTAGAATCAGAATGGAGAACTGATCAAGAGATCCTTTGGATATGCCCGATGATTAAAAGTTTAATAACGCGTTGTGTATTTTAGAATTTATAAGAATGTCTGCGACACTGCTTCGGCCAAAGTGATATTAACTGTAGATGAGTTTATTAAGGACGGCCTATCAAAATCTGATTTTTCTTTTATAGGCCGTACCGGAGAGAAAAAGACCCGAAGACGGGCCATTAACGAAGAGATCGACGACCAGAACCTCGTAAATAATACAGTCTTCCGCGAAAAGCATCTGCCCGAGATGCAGAAGCAGTGGCATAATCTTACCACGTTGCTTAAGTACTCCAATGCCACGCCGTTCAAGGATAGGAACGACGCGGGCTACATTTGCGCGTATTGCTTCAAAACCTATCCCGACCCGGACGTTCTGAGAAATCACACCCAGTACGATCACGTCAAGGAAAAACCGACTTACAAAGCTGGCTCTGGTATGAGTAATTTTGTCGCATTTCTCGATATTGTCAACCTTAAATGTACGATTTGCGACCAGCCGATAGACAATCTCAAGACACTGATGGAGCATTTAGTCAAAGAGCACGATAAGAAGTATTATCTGGGCCTCACGGATTACTTCCAGCCGTTCAAACTGACCAGCGATCAGCAGATCAACTGCTGCCTTTGTAACGAGGTGTTTCACAACATGAAATTACTCATGCAGCACATGAATACCCACTATAGGAACTTCATATGCACTACATGCGGTGCCGGGTTCGTGAACAGCTTTCGTCTGAATCGACACGAGACCACGCATGGGAAGAAGAAGTCTAGTTTCCCATGCAGGCAGTGCGGTCAGGTATTTGCCGCGGAGTCAAAGAAGAAGGCCCACGTCAATACAGAGCACAAAGGCATCGTTGGGTACAGTGTATGTCAAATCTGCAAGGCGAGATTCAAGAACTACTATCAGAAGACGCGTCACATGGTGCAAATACACAATGTTGAAGGGATCAAGTGTGATATGTGCGATAAGAAGTTCAACCTGAAATCTAACTTGATGCTTCATATGAGAAGCGTGCACTTGAAGGAGCGCTCGTACGAATGCTCTGTTTGTAACATGGGGTTCTTTATAAAGCGGCATATGTTGGGACATTACCTAGCAACGCACACCAACGAGAGGAAGTTCAAGTGCGATGTATGTGGTAAGGCGTACGCGACGCAGAATAGTAAACGGAAGCACATGAAAAAGAACCATGGAATCTCCAAAAATAGTGCTATAGTTTCGAACGTGCCAAAATGAGTCGATGTTGCAATATGTCTATATGTATATCGTGATATGTGTACCTTTTAGCATTATAAGGGTGATATTAATTTCGTAATTTTATTTACACTCTTACTGGTTAAAGAAAAATATTAAATTTAACATTTATGTAAAGCTCTTATGAGCTTATGCTCTTGCGAATTGAATCTACTACCGGTATCAAAAGTGAGACCTCTACAGAGAAGAACGGACGACCCATTATAATAACATAAGTTGACGTAATGATTTCTTATATTTACGCGAACACTACACATTGATTAAAACTACTTTTACGGATTTTATCGCGTTTAATTTGAATTATTTTTGATTCCCGACGTATCGGGTGCTTTCCAGCACCCATGGTTACGGTGGACTGAGATCACTGACGTCCCGACGTCATTGTTAAACCCGGAAGTACCTTCAGTTTTTTTTTAAATTATTGTTTATGGCCCGATCTAGTCAGATCTAGATCTATTCAGTCAGGACCATAAACAATAATTAAAAAAACTGAAGGTACTCCGGGTTTTACAATGACATCGGGACGTCCGTCATCTCAGTCCCCCAGTGACCATGGTAGCTGGAAAGCACCCGAAACGTCGGGAATTAAAAATAATTCAAATTAAACGCGATAAAATCCGTAAGAGTAGTTTTCATCAACATTAGTTGATATAATGTTAGTATTACAATTCGTTTAAACCGTGTTGAGGCGGAGTAAGAATATCCACTACTCCATGTCGTCCCATTGGGCTCGTAATAGGCGACAGAGGAAAATTGAAACAGGAGATGGGCAGCAGCATCTTCCTGATAGCAACTCGAAAATAATAAAAATCTGCGTTTGTAGTCCGCCTGCTGAGCGTTGTAACTATGGGATTTTTTTTTTATGAGCCAATCTATGGGGAAGACCTATTTTCAGCAGTGGACTAGTAGCGACTAGTAGTATAGAAGTTGCGATTATGAAGAGTAAAAAACATTATTGATTAATGTTTTTTCCCGACTTTGAATTAAGGCGCTACTCCTAGCGAACGACCTTGAGCGTTCGGTCCTATACATTCCACGCGCTCGTTTGAAATACGCCAAAAATTAAAAAAAAAATCTTTATAAAATCGAATTTTAGTCCCTTCAAAAAATTAAATACATCAACATGCTAATTAATAAATTGCTTATCCATTATTGTCAATCGCAAAATAAAATAATGCTTACTTTATGCTTTACTTAATTATTTCGCATTTCTGTGGTTTAGTTGTAGGAAGATTCATTACGTTAATAGTTGTTGATATAGCTTTTTAATAACTAGAAGATAGCTCTTATAAACCTCACAAATAATGGTCAGCGCGGCATTTTGCTGAAACACGCACCTTAAGAATTTATTTTGAAATAAGGACTAGTGGTAGTAGTAAGGATTGAATGAAGGACTTCTGTCGTCAGAAGTGGATACTCAATGATATATGCGTATGTACATGTATACAGTTCACTGATTTCTCAGAAACGGATCAACCGATTTGAAATGATATTTTTTTATTATATTGGTTACTAGCTGTTACCCGCGACTTCCTCCGCGTCTAAATTATTACGATTGGATTTCATAGGTTTTTTTTTGCACGAAACTCAAATTGTTTTCCAAAATAAAAGTAGCCTTAGTTAGTCTTCATAACATCAGATACCTGCTAGGGAAAGTCCGGTTAAAATCGGTCCAGTCGTTTCAGAGATTAGCTAAAACAATCAAACAGACAGACAGACAGATTAAAAATTTAAAAAAATGTTTTTTTGTTGTACCTAAGTACCACATTGACATTACGAACTTACTACCGTTGGCGCTACAACCCTTTGTGGGTCTTGGCCTCCTCAACTATCTTCCTCCAGTTGTCACGCTGCCTGGCTACCTGCTTCCAGCTGGTAAACTTTCCCATCTTCCTGAGATCTTCTTCCACACAGTCACTCCAACGCTTTTTAGGCCTGCCTCTCGGTCTCTTTTGTTGCGGCGTCCACTTTGTCATTATTTTTACGGCTCTTGTGTCCGGCATTCTTTCAAGGTGACCCGCCCACCTCAGTCGCTGCGACTTACAGAATCTGACGATGTTCTCGTGCCCGATAAGTGCGTCCAGTTCATAGTTCATGCGTTGACGATAGATATCGTCACGCTCTTTTATGTGGCCATAGATTTTTCTCAGCACTTAACTTTTTAATTACTGGACGCCAATAACAACTTAAAACACACTAATAATAAAGCACACTGATCACTCTAGTTCGCAGTTAAATCGCTTCGAAATATTCGCTTGAATTGCCAATTCAATATTCACTCGGTCGCGGCCCTTACTGGCTAAGGCCCTATATAAATATAGGGCCTCTTCTACTGAAACATCTAGAATTTTCTGGTATATACCGGTCCCGACTGACTAGGCGTAGAAAGTTCTAGTATGGAATTTTCTAGAAAGCTCTCCTAGTTCTGCTACTCGATAAAAGGTGGCGCGAGTTACCACTCGTCACGTATCGGGCGTTAATTATGGTGCGCAACAATATTAACGCACGTATGCAGAGATACAACTTCAAAAACTTATTGCGTATGAATTCATTTAATGACTTTTCGATATATTTAAACAGTTTATACTGAGTGCAATCTAACCTACAGTCAAAAATTGTTATATTCCTTAAAAATGATTCTTTGCAAATTAAAATGTTGCATCTCCAATATTTTATGTAAATGTACGTATTTATAAACATATAGCGTTCTCAGCCACTCTTCGCCTTTTCGCGAAAGATCATAAATCTCAATAACCTATACTTTTCTTTGTAGGTGTGCTCCGTACCGTAAGCACGAAAATCGGAAACCAATATGAAAAAGAGCCTGTAGTAAAAGAAAAATCCAAGAAAGTCAACGTTTCCAAACTGAAAATGGATAAAAGCGATAGGCACAAAGGGCGAGAGCTAGAAAAACATCGGAACAACATCAGGGAAATTTTGCAATGCTCGAACGCGACACCCATCCGTTGTCACGGTGGAATCGGATACGCGTGTTGTTTTTGTGCCGAACAATACCCAGATCCTATAGATTTGAAGAAACACACCTTGGAAGAGCACGATGCGAAGGCGAAGCGTAATTTCATGGAGGGGAAAATGATGTTCTCCTATATCGTAAAGCTCGATATAACATCGTTAAAATGTACTCTTTGCCACACCGATATACCATCATTGGAGCAAATGGTCGAACATTTGATCATGATCCACGACAGGAAATTTTATTCGGACATCAAAAATCACATCGTGCCATTCAAATTCGACGGCGACACATTACTAAAGTGCGTGTATTGCATGAACTCTTTCAATAAGTTCAAAGCACTCCAAGAGCATATGAATATGCATTATAGGAATTATGTTTGCGAGGTTTGTGACGCGGGCTTCGTGAACAGGAACATATTGTTGAACCACGCTGAAGGTCACAAGAAGGGCACTTTCAAGTGCGACTATTGCGAAAAAGTTTTCGACACGTACAGAAAGAAAAAGTCTCACGAGAAATCGGTTCACATACATCTAAATATGCTCAACAGATGTGGCTATTGTAACGAAAAATTCAAGGATTATCGGAAGAAGCTCGACCATTTGGTCAGAGTCCACGGCGTTCGTTCGGTCACGCTTAAATGTAAAGCATGTGATAAAACATTTGAAACCCAATCGGCCTTAACGATCCATATCAAACGAGACCACCTGTTAGAGAGAAGGCACGAGTGTAAATTTTGCGATATGAAATTCTTCGTCACGCATGAGTTGAAAGAGCACATGGTTAAGCATACGGGCGTGAGGAACTTTGAATGCGAGGTGTGTCATAAAGCGTATGCGAGGCGAAAAACATTGAGGGAACATATGCGGATTCATGCGGACGATAGGCGGTTCAAGTGCGAACGTTGCGGTCAAGCGTTCGTACAAAAGTGCAGCTGGCGGGGACACATGCGCGCAAAGCACGGTCAACAGGTGTAAATAAAATAGGCCATAGGTATAAAGTGAAACTTTATATTATTTATAAACTGTTTTAAATAAATAAAATCACAAATCTTTAACTCTTATTTTGCTTTCACACTACATACCAAATTCGTTAGAGACCATCTTGAAAAACACGAGCAATATTCAATTAATGTACGTCGGATTGAATTTCTTTTCTGTACAATTAAAGTCAATTCTAAATTATATAAGCAAGAGTAAGTGCCCGAGGGGAGTAGCGTTAGTGTTTTTTTCGATATAGAACTGTCATTAGCCTTAGTGTTTTTGCGCACACAAACAATCGTCTGTCACAAAGAGTATATAATCACTACGTTTTAAAAGGCAAGACTTCCTTACTAAAAATGTATGAAAGGGCACCTAGCTACTCCACCAACATGACATTTAATTTTTTACAAACGTTGCTGACAACGTAGGTGAATTATAATAGCGCTGTAAATATGTATCTACGAGGGTGGATTGAAAAGTACTCGGCCTAACCAAGAAAATAAACACATATTAAATCAGTTATATTTTTATTTTTCTACATAATCACCATCAAGTTCAATACACTTTTGCCACCTCCCCTTCCAAGCATTTAGACCGTTGAAAAAAAATGATTCTTCCTTAGAGTCAAAATATGCGTCTACAGCTGCTTTGACCTCATCGTTTGTCGAAAATTTTTGACCTCCCAAGTGCTTTTTTAGGTTAGGGAACAGAAAGAAATCTGATGGTGCCAGATCAGGTGAATACGGCGGATGCGGTAACAGTTCAAAGCCACAGTTGTGAATTTCAGCCATTGACTGTACTGACGTGTGAACACGGGCGTTATCTTGATGAAACAGGACTTTTCTTCTGAGCATTCTTCGACATTTTTCTTTTATTTCCTCTCGTAAACGACGTAGTAAGGTGCAGTAGTAATCAGAGTTTATAGTCTGACCCCTTTCAAGATAATCAATCATAATCACACCTTTCGAGTCCCAGAATACTGAAGCCATCACCTTATTTGCCGACAAAATCGACTTAGCCTTTTT